GAACGAGAGAGAGTGAGAGAGCGGAGGAACTCGGGGAGGAGAATGACTAACACACACACATACACACACACACACACACAGTCGCGCGATGATACCGCGGCCTGTCGATAAGGCCTCTCTCGCAATAATAAACGCGGCGATAACGCGAAACGCGAGTAGTCCGTCACGTGTGGTAGGCCACGAGCTACATATACTTTGTCCCGCAAATAAACACGCGTTCGTCGTGCGTTGCGCAACGCACGTCTTCAGGAGATGATGCCCCGTTTTACACGAACGTGTATATGCATATTCACGCTGAAAAATTGCCGCTTACCGCTATTTTTAGACCGCCGCCGCCGCCTTTGTCCCGTCATTGGGTCGGAGTCTTCGTCCGCGTATAATCGCGTGAATAATAGAGGCGAACTAGATTAACAGTAGTTTTTCAAACACACACACACACAAACACACACACACACACACACACGATGCGTTTGCGAAATTACGTGAGCCTGTACTTCACGTCCGCTAATGGAGATCCGTTAAGTCCGTTAATGGAAGTCCCATTATAAAGTCCAGCGCGCGGAGAAGAATTAAGACGCGCGCCACTGAATTGTGATCGACTCTGAATCCCGGACGGATACATGTCTTCTTTTCTTTTTTTCCAGGCGATGGCACCTGCCGGGACGTGGCCTCGACGGGGGAGTCCATGAGCGCGGTGCAGGCCCGTCAGGAGGAGGCGCGACGCAAGAGGCGCAGGAAGAGACGTTCCGGCTCCTCCGTGGTGTCCTCCTGCTTCCAAGGTAAATTCGCACGGCGTGATTCGGCGACGGGGAGAGAGAGAACACGGGAGAGAGGGGGCGAGAGAAACGTTGCAGCGTTTGCACGCGTGGAGAAATTCGCGCGCGACCTATCCAGATCCTGTCGCAAGGGAGAGAGATAGAAAGAGAGAGAGACAGAGAGAGAGAGAGAGAGAGGCACAAAGAATGAGGAGGAGGGAGGAGAGGGTGCGAGCGGAAGTCGGGTAGAACGGCTGTTCGCGCGATCCTTTGACGCGAGGCCGGAATTACCTCGCGCGCGCACGCACCCCGCGATGGCGACGGCAGTTCTCTCTCTCTCTCTCTCTTTATCTTGCACCCGGTGACTTGCAGTCCTCCGTAGGTATGTGTGACCTTGGACAAGTTCGGAACGTTCGAGAAACGTGCGCGCGCGCGCAGAGGGGGGAAAGGGATGGAGAGAGGGCGATAATCGATCGCGCAGGCGGCCTGGAATTTTGCGCGCCGCTTGTGTTTATAAACACCGGAAGTTCGCAGTTCACTCCTGTACTCCTCTGCGGTTCCCGAGGCCGAGGGGGTAATACACCTCGGGAAGAATAGACCGGAGGGGAGCAAAACAATGCCGAGAGGGAGGGGGGGGGGATCCTCTTTCACTCTCTCTTTCTCGGGAGAGCCTCGAGCGGAGATTACCTTTTTTTCTTCTTCCTACTTCATGGGTCTGTCGCGCGCGCATTCTGTTTGTGTATGTATACATACAGGTGACGTAATCGGACGGAGACACGTCCGGTAATTACCTTCGCGAGTAATTCGCGCGAGTATATAAAGAATACGCGCGTTCTTACGCCACCCCTTGGCCGGCAAACTGGTTGACGACGCGAGGAACGCGGGGTCGGAATTAATCCGAGTGAGCTGCGCAGCTGGCAAATACGGTTATTCGGCCACGGAGCCGCTCGCTCGATCGATACGGGCGCGCGCGGCGCGGCGGCGGCGGCGGCGGCGATGGCCCACAGAGAGCCACGAATTTCGTTGTGCGTTGTTTTCGAGAGCGTCGGTTCGCGCGCTGGCCGACCCTCGAACTCGAAGACGGCCAACTCATTTCAGTTGGCGTCATAATTTGCAAATAATTAATGTTTTATGTAACTATTCATGAGCAATTATTTGTGAACGGGATTCATGAGGAAGTTGATTAATATTAATAGGCGTGATATAGGCGGAATAATAATTAATTTGCTTAACTGATTAACTTATTGAATAATTGATTTAAAAGGAGTAAAAACCGGTAAAAAAAAAAGTATTCCTTATCATTCTCAATCATTGACGTGTATAATTTTACGTGAAAAATTTTAATAAGTACGTATAAATACAGAGTCGAACCTCTATAACTCGAAAACCGACTCGAGAAACTTCGAATTTTTTTTTTTACTTTAAAACCCATTATAAATTATAAATTCTCGTACAAAGCTTCCGTAATTTTCGTATGTTAATTCTCTTTTAGGTCCAGTTTCATAATATACGGTTAACGAAAAAGTTAGGTTAACTCAAACTTGAAAGTTTACTTAAAACACACTTTCATAAGCTTATAGTCAAATAAACTAAAGGTTACGTGTACATCAGTTGAGTTGGCATCGAGTTAACTTGAGTCCTAATCAAACATTAAACAATAAACTTCTTGGTAATTTTTAACCTTTAGGTAACCATATATTATGAAAGTGGATCTTATTCGAACTTCGATAAGGCGAAATCTTTATAACTCAAAAATTTTTATAGCTTTATAGTTCCCTTGAGATTCGAGTTAACGAGGTTAGACTGTACGTATAAATTTTACAAAAAAAAATTTAGTAAGTATGTAAACGATTGGAATTGAAGAAATCACAGTTGTATGGATATTTTTGAAGGAAGAAAATAATAATTGTTAAAAGTAGTATCGTTAAAAACAGCTTATATAAAAGGTTACAGATTAAATTATTAATTCTTCTCTTCACAGACGAGTATAGTATGTATGTACACACATTTATTCACGTTTCGGCGATTCGATGAAATGTTGACAAATTTCGGTCGTTGCACAACGCCGTTAAAAAAAATGTTGATCTCATTTCAAGCAAAACTTGTGTGCGAAGAATCAAGTTCGCAATCTCGGGCTGGTTGCGTCATTCCGCGTGATCGATTCGCGAGCTTGGCGCTCGGTTCGAGAAGCTTCTACTCCGGCTCTGTGGAATCGTATATGCCATCGGTATAACTATATTACTAAAGTCGATGGAACGCTTAATCGAGAATCCACCGAGGGTGTATAACTTTGTATACGAAACTGTCGTGGGCATCCGATTGCGGTTGGTCAAAATTGATCGGGAAGTAATTTCCTCGAAGAGAGAGGGCGAAAGAGAGAGAGAGAGAGAGAGAGAGAGAGAGAGAGAGAGAGGAATCGTCTCGGTTGTGTACGTCGTTATAGCGAGCGATCGCTAACCGGCGGGCCCTTCGCGTGTGCGATATTATTTTTCTCGTGGGTCGCTATAATTGCGAGTGGGTCGATGATCGCGCAATATTTTCGAGGCGCGCTATTTTCGCCCGGGCCGCCGGTTAAAATTGGCGCAGAGAACGAACGTATAAAGACGTGGAGGCATATTATCGGCCTCCGGTTGCTAGGCGCTAAGCGACGCCTGCCATGCGCGCGTATCCTGACGTGTAATATCGGAGCGGGATAGGGTGGGATGGGTGGTGTGTGCGAGAGAGAGAGAGAGTGAGAGAGATGCGCGGGAAGGGCGAACGGAGACGCGGTAGGGATGGACCAGGGAGAGAGACGCGCACGCGGTGGGCATGGCACGGCGCCGTTGGAGGAAAGGAGTCTGGCGTGCGCAGACGTAGCCTGGCGGCGCGGACTTCCGAGAGAGAGGGAAAATTCGGTGTATGTGCGTCGTAGTTCCATGCTATGATCTCGGCCACCCCCTCTCGACCTTGACATTGCCTGGTCGTTAGAGCAGGACGCACGTACACACACGTACACACACATACACACACAACATACATCACACACGCACGCGCACACACACACACACACACACACACTGCGCATCGCGCCGCTCGAGGTCCAAAGCCTGTTTAAACCGGAGATAATTGGGCCTTTCGAGCGTAACAAGGCAACCGCGATCAAACATGATCGTCAACAGGATCGAGACGGTTCTCCTTCAATGAACTCTCGGGGAGCCCGAGATACTCGAAATATTCCCAAATATGTATGTATACGACGCGGAACGAGGTGTAATAATAAAATTCGCAGCAACCTCCCGGCTAGCGCGGTGACCAGTTCCTGCCTTTCCCGGAAATCGGAAATTGAAGGAGAAAGGAAGAAAAAAAGAGGTGTCTCGCGACCGTTTCGACGCCCGCGATCGCGTAGCGCGGAGGAAAGCGTCTCTAACGCGCGGCTCTTCGAGTGACTTCGATCGATTCGGTTCACGACGTTCTTAGGTCCTTCCCCCCCTTTTGCCATTGCAATGACAACGCGATACGGCACGACGTAATCGCCGAGCGAGCGACGCGCAATTCCGTGCCGAATGGAGTATGTCGCACGCGCGCATTGATTCATCGCGGTGTGAATCCGCGTGTACGGAGCGCGCACCGAGAGGTTGCAGCGATTTGTCTTCTCTCTCTCTCTCTCTCTCTCTCTCTCTCTCTCTCGCGCTTACGACGAGCCTGAAAGTTTTGCAAGCCTCGGCAAGCGCGAGTGTTACGAGTTCAATTCCAGAAATGCCTCAATGTTGCTGCAAATATCCGAGCAAATATCCTATACCTATAGATGTTCGTGCATCTCGCAACCACATCTGACGGTAACGCAAACTGTTTGAACGCGTGGTAGATTAAGCACAAATATAAGAGACGATTGATTGCGTAATGTTGAAATTAACCGATAAAAATATACGACGGCCTGTTCAGATGACGGAATACATTTTTATCCTATTCGGAAATGTTTAACTCTGGGAACAAAAACATTCCATGCGACTTTATTATTATACTTGTTCACTGCAGTAGATGTTAAGACGTGTGAACTGTATATGATAATATGAAATGTGCAAAACGGGAGCATCGAGCGCTTTTAGTTTTTCATTCCCTCCCCCCTCTTCCCTTATTTTCTCGGAAGAGACCGCAAACTATGCGTGGGCGTATCGAGTAAAGTTCATTAAAGTAACCAAACAATCGAGAAAGCGAGGAGTCTGAAAAATGAGTATATGAGGAAGAACTGATGTTTTGCTGTTACAGAACTGTACAAACTGACCGGAGAGGTTCTTGGGGAGGGCGCCTACGCCTCGGTCCAGACTTGTACATCCCTCTACACGGACCTCGAGTACGCCGTGAAGATCATTGACAAGATACCCGGGCACGCGCGTGCCAGGGTGTTCAAGGAGGTCGAGACGTTCCACCATTGCCAGGGCCATCCGAACATCATACAGCTGATCGAGTTCTTCGAGGACGATGAGAAGTTCTACCTTGTGTTTGAGAAGATCAACGGTGGCCAGCTGTTGAACAGGATCCAGGAACGGATTCACTTCACCGAGAGAGAGGCGAGCCAGATCGTCAAAGAGATTGCGAGTGCGCTCGATTTTCTTCATAAGAAAGGTAAGATTTCAACGTGACGAATTCATATAGTCGATAAGAATCTTTAGGATATCCGTAGATTGTTATTCGGAACGGGTTAAAATCCACCTATTCCTTTACTCGCACAATCTTTAACTCTTCAATCATTCTTATAAACGGCGTCTACAATGAGACTCAAGACTTAAGATTTAAGAAAATTGACCAATCACAATCGATTATTCTCTTCTCACGTGAGATGAAATAATCGATCACAAGTCCCGAAACACAATAAGTGTAGTAGTAAGCCTTAAGCCGTAAGAAATGGACCAATCGTAGTCGAATGTGAAGAGAATAATTTTATCATGATTAGTCTCATTTCTTACGGCTTAAGGCTTACTACACCTATTGTGTTTCGGGACTAATTGATCAATTTTCTTAAATTTTAAGTCTTAAATCTCATTGTAGATGCCGCTTTACAAACCGAAATATACATTCGAAGGGTATCGAATCCGTCAGACTACGAGTCTATCGCTCTCACATAACGCCGCTACGCGTTACTCGATAAGGGTCATTAGAAATTAGGTCACAATTAATATTTCCATTTTTATGTGTTATATATATCTCGCTGTGTGTTCAGGTATTGCTCATAGAGATCTCAAGCCCGAGAACCTCTTGTGCGTGTATCCGGACAAGTTGACACCGATCAAGGTATGCGACTTCGATCTTGGATCAGGCATCAAGTTCAACAACTCGCTGTCTAGTCCTGTGGCAACGCCGCAACTTTTGACACCGGTGGGCAGCGCCGAGTTCATGGCGCCGGAAGTGGTCGAGGCTTTTATCGGCGAGGCCAATTATTATGACAAACGCTGTGATCTCTGGAGTCTCGGCGTCATTATGTACATTCTGCTCTGCGGTTATCCGCCCTTCTACGGAAACTGCGGCACCGACTGCGGCTGGGGCAGGGGCGAGAATTGCCAGGCCTGTCAGGAGTTGCTTTTCACCAGTATTCAGGAGGGCAGATACGAGTTCCCGGACAAGGAGTGGAGATGCATCTCCGAGGACGCGAAGGACCTGATCAGAGGCTTGCTCGTCAAGGAGGCCCACCAGAGGCTCAGCGCCGATAGTATTTTGAAACATCCCTGGATTAATCCCGGGCCGACTTCCGTCGAAACTGGTGATCGATCACTTACCACGCCTCATATCATAAGGTGAGCATACTTATGACCGCTTTTTCACGTTTTCCATTTTCTTCAATTGCTTCATCGTTTATAACACGCTCTGTTAACGTTGACCTCCAGGAGGAACAACTCCGCTAGAGAACTCTCAGCGTTCGCTGAGTCCGCAATGGCTGTGAATCGTGTGGTACTTCAGCATTTCTCTCTAAACCTCGAGGAGCTGGCGGAGAACCGGGAGCCTCGGCTGTCCACGTCGTCGACCGACGACGACAATCATCCGTACGGACACATGTCCGATTCCAGCAGCGAGCTGTCCGAGAACAGCAAGCACCTGACGACGCACTCGTCCAGCGAGTTCGACGGCACGCGGCCGAGGTCCTGCTCCGTGCGCTCCAGCGTCGATCTGAACGATCCCAAGATCATCGGCAAGAATCGCTGCATCGGTAAGGACTCGCTGCAGAATTGGTTCGGGCTGTCACCGCCGACCGAGAGCCGTCTGATGCAACGCCGTTTGAAGGCGCGCTCTGACCTGCTCGAACGTCAGACCGGCAAGGCGGTAATTGCGTCACCGAGTGGCTGAGAGGTCGCTGTAGAACCGATCACTTTTTCTCGCTACAGTATCACTTGTCTCTTTGTAGCTACGTGAAGAAAGAAAAAAAAAACCGCGAACGATGTACAATACCTTTTCCAATGGCTTAGGAAGCTAACGTAGCAGTAAGTCGAGTTTCTGATTCTGCGCGGATAATGAGAAACAGGCTCAATCATTTACGATAGTGACGACAGCGATAATAATCGAAAAAGTATTCGCCGCGAAAGAAAAGTTAATCGAAACGGTATATATTGTCGTCATCTTCTTTTTTTCGGTATAGTCCTAAGCTTCTTTTGTTTTAAACGTGTTTGCTTTTAACAGGCAGTTCGAATGGCAATCAGATTGTTTTTATTTCCAAGGAAAGATTCCTTCAATCTTCAAACTGATTTCAGATTAATTGGATAACGCGATAGAGTTATGGCTTTGAATAATGTAACTATTGAAATAATAATGTAATGAAAAGGAAAGTGTAAAATATAAAACAAGAGATTTATATATATAGAGATTTTCGTTTAAAATATAAATCTTAACTCTAATATAATGCTGTGTGCGCTGTAAACGTATTGAAGTGTATTCTGCCGTGACAGGCAAGAACGATATTTAATCATAATCGGAGCGAGAGGAAAAGATAATTATACCGCAGTTTGACTTCGATCATCTCATAGACGTTGCGCTCCGCGCGCGAGTAATTTCCTCTTCTCGCGTTTTTTTTTTCTTGGAAATAAAAGCAAGTCTGTTTTTCATTTTGAAATGCCGCTGTTATCCTCGCTGCGTGTAATCCGTTGTTCTCACGCAGTCGTATGTTGCATATTGTACAGAGAGTGAGAGTGAAAGAGAGATAGAGGAGAGAGATAGCTACGCAACACGCGCATCGAACATTGTATCATCATCCGCAGATACGCATACGAATTTACATACGGATACCACATTCGAACATATTTCGTTTCATTCTCGCACGTTCGAGATCCGTGTGTTGTGCAAAAGTAAATCAACAATTGTGGATAAGCAGAGCACATGATTCAGAAACGGTATGTTGATGCGTCAACCCGACGTTGACGCGGATCCTTATTCTTTCGCTACGTATAAGTAGGGTGTGAACGTTAAAGACACATGCGCGCGTTTCGTGTGTAGGACAGAAAGGAAAGAAGAAGAGGAGGAAGAAATGTAAAGACCCTCGTGATCGTGATAGTTCGTGCGCTGCTGAACGCACGAATGTCCTATTACGTAAATATTATTTTTATTTTTTTTTTGTTTGCTGAATTCTTTAAATTCGAAAAAGAAAAGAAAAAGGAGGAAAAAAAAATATCGACAGACGCAACCGATGCAAGGCGAAAAAGATGTTCCTTTTACTGCTTTTTTTTTTATATTGTTTCACGTACGTTCGAGCCATGATATATTCTCGAATCGGAGTATAAAAACGCGGGTGAGCGTATCTCGGCCCAACACACAGGTGCAGATTAGTTTGCTCATGTTAGATTAATAGAAAAACTCGATAGATGTAAGTCGGCAAAAGATTTCAAAGCAACATTTGAATGGTTAGAAGTTACGGGGAGCGGATCAAAATAAAAAAAAGAGAGAGAGAGAGAGAAAATGGCCAAGCTCGTTTAAAATTTCTCAGTTGTTAAATTACTGGATATCGTTTATTGATTTGTGTGTTAAATATTTTTTTTTTTGTAGAGTTTTATCGACCAAAAATTGTTTTAACACCAGCCCACCCACGATAATGCTTTATATCTTCGTACAAATTGTATTTGTCTTTTCTATATGAAAACCTTCGTTCTTACGGTTATACACCAAATCTCTATCGAAGCAGTTCGGGTTCGAGTAGAAACAAATTATCTATATACTTCTTTCTATATACTTTATCGTGTGTTTTAGATCAAAAAGGGAAAAAGATATGAGAAAGAAATTTCTTTCATTCACGTCTTGATGGCGGCGGGCAGAATTTTTACTCAGGGCAGCTGGTAGACGCTGCGCACGGTATATTCTATACTCGTACAATTTCGAAAGCGGCGAAGATTGGGAGAGAATGTGCGAAAAAGTTATCTGTAAGATATACAACGCGCGCGCGCGCGGTCCCTCCGGGATTAATGGCAAAGGGAGGGGGGAGGTGTTGTGTTGGCATCTCACTTTAGGATTCCGGGATATCTTTCTTTTGTAGATTGCGTTTAACTCCGGAGGGCCGCCGCGAGCGGTAATGTAACAACATGCGTTTGTACATTGTAATTACATCATTGGAAACTTTCTTAGAAAGTCATTCGCTTGCTGTAGGACACACGGCGGATGTGGCTTTTGTCAACTTCTGTCTTCTTTGTACTTTGTAAGTACCGGTAAAGATACAGGATTTAGAGTTTATAGCGCGCGTGGATGAGATTATACATATACATATACATATGAGAGTCCGTGTAAATAAAAAGAAAAAGCTACGATGTGTAGAGATTACGGAGAAAGCAATATATATAAAATGCGAGAGCTCTCTTAAGGAGGAAATATTGGAAGATTAATATATATTTATCGGCCTCTTTTGCGCAAGGTTGACAACAACTTTTTACATCATTCCTCAATCAGCTGGTAAACACATATACGAAATTATCTTTCTACCGTAAAAGAAGAAGTTCATTTTTTCCCGCTTGTCTTTCTCAATTTGTCTTGCGCGAAGTTTCCATACGGTGTGACCCATATTTTTTCACACATTAAGCGTACCGCTCGGAAAGGCTACAGAAATTGTTCATTATCCCTTTCTATCGGGAAACGATTTTTTTTTCTTGTGTCGATCGTGCGTTTTGGTAAAGTATCAATATAAGCTCGAATGTGTAAGCGAATGCCCTTTCTTCTTTTTTTTTAAACAAAAAAGGAGGAATATATAATTATAAGAAGACATGAAAATGAGGTGTGCATGAGGAAGTGTGCCGGGTGAGAAAAAAAAATATAAAAGGAAAAGAAAAAAATATACAAATGGCCATAATACAGATCTGTATAAGCGTAACGAATTTAAGATTGTATAATAGATTGCGAGTGTAATGTGTGCATGTGTGCACGCGCGCGCGCGCGTGTGTGTGTTTTTGCAAGCGTGAAGTGGAAGAAACTAATTGCTAGCCTTTAAGAGAAAACCCAACACATTGTCGTAAGTTCGTAGCGTAAGGCACCGCTGAGTCATACCGACCGTTTGTCAGATCGTTGTTTATTTTTATCCTTTTACACACATCTCCACCACACCATTGTGTACCGTTTCGCGGAGTGGCTCGATACTTTTGACACTTCGGTTCGTACCATTTCACGAAGAAGGAGGAGTTGAAGGAGAAACGGTCAGCGATTAATTGTTTTCGATCGCCGAAGATTGGAATTGTGATAATGCTTCTTGCGCGAGTGGCTGGACCATAACATTTGGATTTCGGTATAGCGCAGCGGTCGGAACTTGTACATGCGAAAACGCGAAAACATTTATCATTCTCATTTTCTTCCCTAGTAGTACACAGTAGGCGTTATAAGGTCCTTTTGCCGAGTGGCGGTTAACGCGAGAGAGAGAGAGAGAGAGAGAGAGAGAGAATGTAACCGTAGGGAGGGAGGGATGGGGGAGAGTCCGTGGGCGATGTGATGTGTTTTTCGCGTCGTGCCAACGCCGTGGCGCGGCGACAAATCCTACGAGAAACGAGTCACGATACGTGAGGAGAGCGAGAAAAATTTTCGTTACACTTTTTCAAGGAAAAAAAAGCGCGAAAAAAATGAATAAAAAATAATCGTCACGTGTCATATACATACATATATATATATATATATATATTTTAAGTGGTACGCATCCCGTTCCTCTTATCTTCTAACCCGCACACTCTTCGTCGGGCCTCTTTGTCCCGTCGCTTATCAAGTACCCGCGCGGTTGACACATATCTTCACGAAGGATGCGCATCTTCCTTTTTCTTCGTGAAAGAAAAAAAAGGAGGTATATTATCAAGCACGCGAGACGAGTGCATCCTCCTTTTTTACGAGAGAGAGAGAAATATATAGAAGAGATATTGTCAAAAGCACAGGCTATTGTGTTCGAGATCACGTCACCGGCGGTCTTTGGTTTCGACGAAAAGGTCAATTCTGTTTGGGGGGGAGGGGGAGAAAAATGAGTGTGCGGCTCGACAAGAGCTGATTTTCCATCACTTTTCTTATTCTTGTAATCGTAGTAGGGTATGTCGATCGAAGGTGAGATAGTAAGAGAAAAAAAAAACCTGGAGAATGTAAATAAGATTTATCTCGTAGCTATAGTGCCTATATCCTAAAAGAAACTAGATCGATAGGTAGTGTTCCCCGGTTTTCATCCTACCAATCTTTCTCCTTCCATCGTCCTTTCACCCCTTCCCTCCTTTCCACAAAACGTAACGACCCTCACACACATTTTCACGGCCTTCTAAACCGACCACCATCCCTCTCGTCCATCCTTCTCCTCTCCCTCAAAATCGAAACATTCCTCTCCGTATCGACCTTCAACTCCAACCGAACTCTCCTCCTCCCTCCCTCCTTCCTCCTGTTCCTCTTCCTATGTGTCACCTCCCTGCGTCACGATCCCTACTTCCACGCGTCCCAAAAAAATTGTTATAAAACGAGAAAAATGGCCAAAAAATATTTTTTATTTTTCATACCCACTTGTATGTAGAACATATATGATATATTTTTTTGACACGGTTGAGGAGACGGAGCTTGATTACGAAGAAAGAAGGGAGCGGCCGTATCGCATTCTCGCGGGGACCGTTCTCTCCAGATTCCGATTGAAAACATTCGGGGGAGAATGGTCGGGGGATGCGATGGCCTCTCTTTTATTCCTTGCGTTTGGTGCGATATCTTACTGCTTAGTATTAGAGGTTTTGTAAACCGAAGTCGCTCTTCAGTTTTGTGAGAGAGTAAGAGAGAGAGAGAGAGAAACGTTCGAGAACATGGGCTGAAGTCCATTTAACAACGTGCTCACGTACAATTTTCAATACAAAACTGTATTATTCAAAAATGTTTACGCTTTTTTTTTTTTTTTTTTTTTTCAAGAAAAGAATATTAAATCCCGACCCCGAGACAGCAAAGTAACGTCAAAGTGATGTCTTTGACGACATTTTGACGTCAAAGTAACAAATAACTTTGTTACCTGGGGTGATGTCTTTCCGGTTTTACCGCAATTAATTTAAACATAACGAATCATTTAACTTGGATCTGGGACATGTCGACCAGCTTCACTTTTATGAAACGCGAATGGGCGGTATTTATCAGATTTTCAGAAGAAGTACATCGCGTGAGCACGTGAGGCGCTAAAAATTTCTCGTACGTACTTTTATCCGTATTTTAAGTGGCGCGCGTTAGGTAGCCTAGCGCGAGAAAACATGTAAATGTTGAGACTGGATTACGAACGTACAAAAATACCTTATACCTGTAAACAAGACATGTTAATCACTTCGCGATTCGATCAGCGCGCACGATCGTCCGAGGGAGCGAGGAGGAACGCTCGTAATGCGAAATTTTTTTCGATTCGATCCACGTGCGGCAATTGTTTACGAACTATACGAACATTCGGTCCGAACGAAATCTGATTGCAGATCGGCAAATGGCGTGATTTGATGAAAAAAAAGAAAAAAAAAAGAAAATCTGATTTGTCATTATTCCTCACACGATTGATCATTAAAATGTATATTTTTTAAGTGAAATATTAAGACATTTTATTACATTCTTTCCTTCACACCATACACATAAATACACACACACACACACACACACACGCATGTGTGCACATACATAAAGCCAGCGGCACACACGATACACGTTTTCCTGCTGGATTGCTTGTGTGTTAGTAAATTACTAAAATTGTATCACACAGAACGTTGAATTTCTATAGTAATTTACTAAGCGCAAGCAATCCAGCAAAAAAATGTGCATCGTGCACCGCTGGCCTAACATACGCGTACAAATACATTCATGCATCCGTCGACATCGCATTTATTTTTCTCTCGATTTATACATTGCCTCGCATATCCGCGCCGCGCTATTGTTTTGCAATCGTCGACCCGGCAACATTCATCTCATCCCATCTTAAATTTGTAGATATATATATATCACGTGGTTATATCGAGCGATGCACAGGCGAGCATGCGACTGGAACGTTGATACTAATTCTCGGAAGCCCGATTTCATTTCACTGATAAACGGCACACGCGAGAGACAAGCTGTGAAAGGCGGACGAGTTTAGTTTTATATATCTCACTCCATTGGAATCCGAAAGTTAGATTTCAATATCCCGAGAACGTGTTAACGCGTCTTATGATCTCGTTCGCGAGGACCGTACCAAGTTAAACTTACAATTAGAGAAGCCCTTAGTAAAAAAAAAAAAACGTCGGAGTTCTGTGTAAAATCGTGTCCATGTCGAAGGAAGTTAATTAGAGAGTAGCCGACTTGTACACTTAACTAACAAAAACAAAAAAAAACAAAAAAATCTATAGGGGTTCGTCGAAAGAATGCGGGAGACGTTCGGAGAGTTTTGTTACGCTCGTGCGTTATTTGTTCTCAAATTAAAGCGCTTCTCGACGGGATTTCCGGCACGGGACGCATTTCGACATGGCCGCGGTTCCAGGGGGGGGGGGGAACCAAGGAGAGATCGCCAAGGAGATCGTTATTTAATTTCGTACGTGCACGCCGTCCTTGCGCGCCGACGTTCAAGTCGGCCACAAGCGTATATACGAGTACAAATTGCAGCCCTTCGTGTTAAAAAAAAAGTACAGGCGGGGATCTTCTAATGAGTGTAAAAAGCTTCGACGGTTCGTCGTGTTTAAACAAAAAAAGAGAGACGTATCGTCAAAGCGGTTACGTTCTCTCTCTCGAAGTACAGTCCTACCCCCCCCCCCCAACGAGAGACCGTCGATGCCTTTTACACTTTTTTTCGAAGCACCCTGCGCGAGTCGACGAAGGCGACCGGACGGAAGTACAGTCGAACTTCCGCATTTTAATCTTTGCCGCTATTCTTTACTTTGTGAGAGGGCTGCAAGACGTTATAAAGTCTCGAAATCAGTATTTTTCATCCCTATATGTTAAATATATATTTGTTTCCCTAGTAAAATTTTCGTGATTTAAAACAAATTCCTGCAGCCCTTTAAAGATTAAACAATTAAGACTGTGTAAACTTAATTTTCCTCTCTCGCGCGTTGTACTTACCGTTTGATTTTGTTTGACGAGAATTTGCTTGATGAATTCGTCTTTCATTCGCTTTCTCATTCTGAATTAATCGCGATCATACCCCGATGGAAATATTTCTCAGAATTTTTCATAGATTTTTTCAAAACTTTTGTGTAATTTTCGGATTTTTTAGAAGTTCTGTATAATTTTGTAACTTTTTAGAAAATTTCTTAGATTTTTTGTAATTGAGATACTTTCCAGAAGTACTGAAATACATCTCTCTCTAAAATTCTCCATATGTCTGAATTCTAAAATATTCTAAGTTTTTTTAAATTTCTTCATTTTATAATTTCTGAAGAAAATTTATAAAATCTGTAAAAGTTTACGAAATTTTTTTAGAAATCTTCATAAATTTTAAATAAATGAGATAAATTTTATAAAATAAAATATATTATATGAGAATTTTTTCATCAAGAGAGGTTTTCCGTAAAATGAGTCATTTTCCGTAAAATTATTTTTAAAACATAAAATAAAAATTAAGATTACAGATATTACAGAGATTACACGATTCTAACTTACTAAAAATACGGAGATTCGACTGTGCGTCTGATTTGTAGTTACTGAAACGTCGGATCGTTTCCTCTGCAAAAGAAAACGATGTCGATTTATCTCCCGCCCGCCTTCAAAACGGAGAGTCGTGATCGCGTTTTACTAGCCTCGGTCGACAACGAAAAGCTCCATATTGAAAGCTGAGGGATATTTTCGAATCGGTTATATCCTATAGAAAAATATTACGTCAGCTTTGAGGATACTAAATGCGAAATTGGATATATAATCGGATGGATCAAAAATCACGAAGGACAAAAAAAACTAAAGCGTGGAATCGGTACGAGGGGTGGGGATGACTTCCGCCTGCCGATTCTGGTAAACGCACTGCCGATCGCAGCTTTCGCTGCCGAGTAGAAAAAACAATCAAGAGGCTCCTAAATCCGGTATCCTTGAGAAGGTCCCAAGTATTTTTCTATAAGGAACTCGAGGACGCGCGCTCTCTTCCGTGATAAAGTTCTTAAGGAAATACGTCCTGTGTGTATGGAAGCGTGTGTGTGTGTGTATGCGTGTGTGTGCGTGTGTGTGCGTGTGTGTCGCGTACGTGTATATCAATCAAGCCCGGAGCGAATCGCGTAAGAATCTACCTTGTTGACCTATTCCGATGTTTAATTGCAGTTACGCCGTTTCGGGATTAACGAGAATCCGTTGTTAAAACTTGAAACTATTCTATGGAAAAGAGAGAGAGAGAGAGAGAGAGAGAGAGAGAGAGAAAGAGAGAGAAAGGAAGAAAGAGAGAGTGTGTATAGTCACGGTGATCCTCGAATCTCTACCGTATTCTTCGATTACGATACAGCGATACGCTATATCGGTCCATAGTTAATGCAACATCATGTTAACACTTTGATTGCTGTCACTCATATCTGTGTGAAGGGGGGGGGGAGGAAGGTTACGCATAACAGTTGCAAGAGTCAGTCACTCATTTGTGGGTGACGATTTTACTTATCGGATTAAGAATAATTTTACTATAAGTATTTCGGACCTTAAAGAGAAACAATGTACATTGTAATTAAAAAAGAAAGTGATTATATTAGAATATAATCGCTGTTTATATTAATCAATATAAAGTATAGACTAAAATATAAAAAGAACAATAAAATGTGTTAAAATGATACACTTATTAAGCTCAATGCTGAAATCAGCTTGGCGATCAAAGTGTTAATATGTGTACCTTTCCCCTATCTATACTGACGTTTCTCGTTGCTACGAAATGACGACGAGCTGGCGACGCGATGATCGTTTCTGATTTTTCGACGGAAGACGCGAAGTCGCAGAAATCTGAGAGGTAATCGTGACACTCTCGGCGATAAACCGTGGAAGGGAAGGGGGGGAGGGGGACAAACCGAGGTAGCGTTATAATACGTTTATGTCAACGGCTGATTTCCAAGAAATTATACGAATACGTTACGGTGCTGCGAAGCGAGTTTGCTTAGACACCACGATTACCGCGCGCGCGCGCACGCAGATCGCGCGGCGCGGTAAGAATGTATAACGACTGTAAAACGCGTCCTATAATTAAATGCGAGTCAATACGAGGAATTCTGCGGAGGATGCTTTTTGTATTACATGAGGTAACGAACGCGACAAAATACAACAGAGACTGAAGAAAGAGAGAGAGAGAGAGAGAGTGTGTGTATATGTGTGCATGCGAGCGAGAAACGAGAAATTCTTCGTGGAGAAAGAGAGGTAAAAGAGCGAGGGATATTTTCGTTTTCCGCAAAAAGAAAAAAAAACCGGCCGCCTCTTCTCTCGATCGGGAGCTGTACATTCGTTAGTATGCAGTTATTTAATTGGCAAGCAGGCGCGAAGAGATAGCGCGGATGTTAACGGCGATAAGGAGGTGAAGAAGCGCCAAGGTCGATAAGAGGAGAACGAAGAGAGTCAAAGTTGAAAGAGAGAGTGAGCGAGAGAGAGAGAGAGAGAGAGAGAGAGAGAGAGAGAGAGAGAGAGAGATATTTGTAATATCGCTGCGCCAGATTATAACCACTATTAGCCGTATATACTTTATTGGAATATATGAATTATTAATGGGGAGAAAAAGTCGAAAATAAAGAGAGAGCTGGCAAACATGGAAAAGTCGTGTCTCGGCCTCGTTTAATTCCGCAAAAACCCGTTCTCGATCCTCATCCCTGGCGAAGATATAAAGACACGCGGTCTATAGGTCGGATCTAAGGGAAAGAGTGACGGAGAAGCGCAAACGAAACTTCTAGAAAGCGTAAATTGGATCAGCGAAGAGATTTTCTTCCACTTTCCGATGTTCCAATTTACGACGTTCCCAAGTAATTTCGTTTTTTTTTTCTTTTCGGTTTTACGTTTCTGTCATTCGTCCTCTTACATTCCAACTTGCGTTGCGATCCTTATTTTCTACAGCTGGCACGGGCGTTCTCCAGGAAAGAGAGCCAACGTTTCCTTTTTTTCCCTATAATCTTTGCGCTTGTTCTTTTTTCGGATTTAATTAAATTCCTTCTCGAGCAGGAGGAGAGGGAGGGAGAAGGGGGAATAAAGAGGTTTTCCAGTCGTCCGAAAAATAACAATGCGACAGAATAACTGTCTAAATTGTTGTCCTTGCAAATGCGAAGTTTTTCGGGACGAGAATGTCACCGTGTTTGCTTATACTTCTGACATACAGCCGTATTCCGCAGGTGATATCGATCAAATACGGTGGTTCCTGCACACGTCGTCGCGTCGCGAAGACACGCACGCGGTACTCGACGCAAGGCGGAGACGCTCACAACAACTCAGTTGAGTATCCTCGACGACAACGGGGCGCGGACGGCGATAAATCGGGGAAGAAAAGGAAAAAATTGCGTCGCGTTGAAAATATGTCCGAGCAGCAAACGGATTCGTACGACTCGAGACCGGTAACGTCGAAGAAGTCGGAGAGGCCGCCGTTCAAACTGTGTTTCTCGCGAAACCAGCTGATCGGAAGATCCGA